ACGCCGAAGGCCCAACGCCTCGCGGGGGAAGCGGAAAGCAATTCCCGGGCGCTGAAAACAAAAAAAGGCGGCCTGTATAGCTATACGGACATGCATGCATGCAACTCCACGATTTATACAAAACCGAAACCAAAACCGAAACCAAAACCCCCCACCTTAGCCCCGCCGTTCATCCCCTCACTGACCAATCTCACGACGATTTAATTGACTACGCACATTCCCAACGCTCATCACTTGCAGGCTTACGGCTTTGTAAAAACTAGTGAAGCAGACTACGACTGCGTTACAGAAAGTCAGATTGGTGGTAGATGAGAATGTGGTTTTGGGCGCATTTCGTCATCTGTATGGTTGCGAACTCTGCTCAGACGGAGAATTTATTATTTGCAGAGAAAACGAGCGCGTTTGGCCCATCGATTATTGTTTAGATTCTTAACGTAGTGATGACTATTCCTTGGGTGCACGGGGATATGGGACTCTGGTAATCATCCAGGACGACCGTTTGATTGACGACCCTCTTCATTGGACTTTACAAATATGAACATGTGCCGTCAGCGTGGTAGGTTCGGGGTAGATGCATGTACAATTATATATTAGGTCTTGTTGGCCTGGTTTGGAAGCATACATATTAAGTGATATTCGAAATCAGTTTTACCACCAACCTCTTTTTCCTTACTTCGCGAGGCTCCATCAAATACGCGTTAGTTATTAGGATATCCTTCCGCCATCCCTTATCTTGGTCCTGGTACAATTCGGGCGAATCAAGTGCTAGAGCCAACGCACAGACCATCCACTGATCTGGGTGGGACTAATATCATTCGAGCTAATTCCGAGTTACCGCCACACTCGGCCGGATCTTTTGGGTGATGGTAAAACTCGTTCGTTGAACACGAGCTTACTTAGGGAAATGATCTGCGCGTTATGAGAGGTCTAATCGATGCAGGCCGACATTCCGAAGCGCATTGAAAGCTTAACGATTTTAAATTTTCATAAAGTCAGGATTCGGTTCCACATACTCGAGCCTAATCCGTGATCATTCCCAGTGATTATTTCCCTCCTCCATCCCTTTAATCATTCTGGGTACATCAAAACATCCCACCATGCCCAAGTCCAGGTTTAACAACAATATTATCTCTACCGCAGTTCCGATTACCCACATTTATTTAGGGGATGATGAGACAGATTACCTCTGGAAATGTTTTACTGGAGAGATAAAGCATGTTCGCCTCGCATTTGAGGATCAAAATGGCCGAAACCGGGACCTGCAATACAAAATTGCTGAAGATGTGGACTTCCTCACTAATGAAGGCGTTGTGTTATTGGAAGATCAACGTGAGCAATTTTATAATACGGGATTAAAGAATCATCACTGAATAGCTATTTCTAGGGGTCCATAAGTTTTACCTTCAACAGGGCAGCAAAAAGACATGGCTACTTTAAGTCGCGCAGGGGCGAAAGTGGAGAGACTCATACCACCAACGTCAATGAGTAGCTCTAACGAAAAGGGCGCATATTGAAAAGCAATTAATGGGAGATAATACAAACTGTACGATGAATCTGAGAAGAACTTGAACATTAGGTTGTATTGAGCGTAGCAAAAGCACGCATTCGTATGTATATCTATATACCAAACGTCAGTATTTCAATTCAACATCAACGCAGAATCTAGATTTTGGCCTGGTCTACTCAAAATCGCCTTGGTTTCCAATGTATTATCCATGTTCGCGTGGTGATTATGGAGGGTAGGAAGGCAATAACCCCGCCAAATCGCCCGACCATATATTCTGTGTTGTTTGCAGAAGATATCCTGTGAAGGGCTAAAGCAGGACTTAATTCAATCTAGCAGGAAAGCAGCAGGTTCCGCGACAACTCGCGGTGTGAATTATACAGTAGTAGTTAGATCTTGAGCGAGCTTGTGTGGTGGGAGAGTTCATGTATATCCCGGGTCTTTCGTACACATGTCAGTGACTAGCCTCGTGATATGAGGGTGTGACTTATCAAAGCTACATTAAAAAAGCCAGGTGGGCGGATGTATTGCCTAATCTGACCTAGTACGCTTCAAGGTAGGGCACTGGGAGATATTTGAGAGAACACTAACTTGAATCTGACTTCGAATATCGCTGTACATTGGGATTGGCATCAGTTTTCTCTTAAAACCCCTGTCTAAGCTCGACCATCTAGGAGCATATACTATGTATGGAATCAATGGTATGATGATGTTTATGGGTAGAACAAGCAAGTCCAACCAACCATTCATAGATCTGAATAGCCCTTCCTTGTCAGACAAACCGGTAGATCCTTGCTTCCGTACTTAAGCTATGACCAGAATCGACCTGATGCCTCCCTTGCGTCCGTCCTCGTGAACACGGCGTGTCTGGTGGCGCATTTCTCATGGGACCCGTGCAAAGGGAGGGTAAATGTTTGAATAATCCTTATTTTATATCCTAGTTTGGTATGGGGTACATGTGCGTTTATATTATTTATTTGTTTTTAGTGTAGAGAAATAGTCGTTAGTGTGAAGGGATAGACTCAGGTATTGGTGATTAGAGTTGAACATTAGGGTTGTGATTAATGCTATAAACAGGTATTATTATGCCATCCCAAGGCAGACAGGGCCCGATGTCCGAACAATAGAAACAGGAGAGAGTTTTACGGAGTTTTGAGATAAAAATTAGTCCAAAAGTGGTAATCTTTTGAAAGATCCGTATCATGGTAATACATATAAAGAGTCTACAAATGAAAATCGTAGTAACACCCAATAAACACAAAGCGTGAGGCTTTTGACAAATGTACAATTGGGTTTCAGAGACCCGAGCACGAAGGGGAATCAAGAGAAAAGAACGGTAGGAAGTAGAGACTGACTAGTAAATAAGAGTCGTAACTCATGCTAATGCAGAGGGGTGGGAGGGGAATTTGAGAGACTTGGGGGTTTTTCCCTATTTAGTTGAGCAACCTGTTGAGACCCATGCGGGTGACACAGGCAGGCTCAACTCTGGCCATACAGGGATTAGGCAAGTCAGGTGGCTGATGCCATGAAGACATGGTAGGCTGGTGGGACATCCAGCGCTTGGAGACAATCTCAGACAGAGACTCCAATGAGTGGGCTGGGTAGCTGGGCGAGTCTTCAATGACGGGCAGAAACATAAGTTGCGGCGAGGGAATAGTGCGGGGCGAAGAAGAGCAGGTGGAGTTGTAGTCTGAGACCATGGATGGTGGCTCACTGGAGGTTGCGTTGGAGACTTCCGAGAAAGCGGGCGAGGTGAGAGGGGTTTCGATCGGTCGATTGATGAAAGGAAGAGTGTAAGTGGGGGAAATTTGACGGAAGAAACCATGGATTCTCTGCGAGAGTGGGAGAATTGTTCAGAGATAGAAGACTCGATAGAGTCAGTGCAGGATGGGTGAGAAAACGATATGGAGAAGCGGGGGCGAGAAGGGGTCATAATTGAGGCTCGGGTATAGGGGGCCTCGATGCGGCTAGAGTAAGTGCGAGAGGTGGTGAGGGTTGACAGCCCACGCTTCTTACGGTTCATATTGTCATTCCAACAGGCCTTAACTGCGTTGTCGCTGCGGTTCCCGAGGCGGTGGGCTATCTCTGCCCAGCGCTTTCCTATTTCGTTGACCATGCGCTCGATCACCAGACCCTCGTCGGCTGAGATGGGTTCCCGGTTGAGGTAAGGCTTAAGGTTTTGATGGAAACGCTCCCGACATTGCTTGGGTGATCGGTAGTACATGTGTTGAGAGATGCGAACCCAGTTGAACCAGTTGAGTGAGAAGTTGATCTTCCTCTGGGACCCAAGGTCCACGGCGATTTGAAGTAGGCATTGTAGAGGATTCAAGTTGGCGAGATGGTGAGAGTTGAAGAGGCATTGATGTGAATTGATATGGAAGGAAGTGTAAGCAATGGGAAGAGTACTTCAAGAAAAGGAAGCATCCAAGTACCAGGGGGACGGGTCCAAAAGAAAAACCTGGTCCCTCTTTGAGAAGAAGATCACGATCCAAGATCTCGGGGCTGACAGTTCGGAACAATACATGATTTTTCGATGTAACGTAATTCCCATACGAGCTGGACACCTAGCCGAGCTGGACACTCAAAACACCCTAGTAAATGCGATTATATTCTACACTGATATCTCAACAACCACGCTTTTAGTGGAGAGAAAGAAGGAAATCGCAGATTTGAATCCCATCCATGTACGTCATGGGGATATGGTTGAGATTGCAATCCACAAAAACTTCCATCATATATAATTGGCAAGTGTCTCCAATTTCCTTTTCAGAAGGAAATAAAGGCTGGAAGTGGTGAAGTTTGTATACTTCGAGTGCCAAGCATTCGCGCTTATATAAAAGCCTCAGACCCACCTGGACGCCCGGAGATCTGCCACTTCGCTCTCTTCCTCTTGTTATGGGAATAGTCATGGACGACTTTCACGCACCTACTGTCGCCTCCGGACCTTCGTCCGGGGCTGCCCCTCGCGACTTGTCTAAGCTGTCGATGACCGATCTGATGCAGGAGAAGCAACGCCTGGAGGATGAGCTCCAAGCTCTGAGCGCTGTGCTCGACTCGGTTAGACTCCCTAGCTTTCTTCTGTCGTGGCTACTAACCCACTCCCTTGTTTTTTTTATTCTTTTCCAATAACCGTTGATAAAGGCATTTATCAATTTTTTTTTAATTTTGAATAGATCTAAAACATACAATGTTGCGGTATCGAAGATCACCGTTAAATTACGTTGCTAGGAGCTAGAAATATATATATCTCGATCATCAAGTGATAGAAATTCATCAAACTCTTTTATGAGTCTAGATACTACCTAAAGAGTATGTGTTGAGAAGGATAAGTCCCTACAATTTATGGTTGTTGTGATACTATGTTGTAATTTATTGCATTTACTATGGTGTTTTGGGTGTCCAGCTCGGCTAGGTGTCCAGCTCGTATGGGAATTACGTTAATTTAGTTATAATTTATTAATATTGAATATGTAAATCATTTAAGATATATTACAGACTATTGTAATGTATAAAATTGTGGGGTGTGGAAAAATACTCCGTTGGGATCGTTAGTACGACCCGGGAATCCGGGCTGAGAAGAGAAACTACATCGGTGTGATCGATCCTGAGCTACCCTGCCCAGATCCACATAGTGGATCTGGATTGGGCCTGAGGTGACAGCAGAAACGGCCACCTTCTCCTTGCTTCTGCGACAAGACGTAGATTTCAGATGCTTGCCCATTGTGCTGGTCCCATGAGATTTGTGATGTGGGTGATGAGGGTGATTCAGCGGCGCCAGGCAAGACCGACACACGACCTTGGGTCGCCCAGACCCGACCTCTGCCACCTGGTCAAAGTGCCTCCACACCTTCGAAGAACGCGACTCAGTCGACCATCTGAAATTGTATTGTCCATTTTTGGTCAGTTGTTGTCCATATTCGGTCTCCAGCCACCAGGATAAGAAGTCGTTCTCCTGGGCGGTCTCGTAGAGTACCCAGTGTCGGCGGTCAGGTGCGAATCGCGTGAGATTGGCCGAGGGGGTTCTCGGTTGGCCAGCGGAAGGCTGTAAGTCTTCGTTAAGTAAGAAACACTTCACTGACTCCGGGTAAAGACATACCGAACACCGCGATACCGGGGTAGGTGACGAGTCTATGTCTACCCCATTCGAACACATCGCGCTAGAAGGTGTTTCACCTGCGAGAAGACCAGCCGGTTTAAATGAGAAAAACCAAGCGAGATCGATGTGAGAATTTTATTTCAGAGTAACCGCTGGGTCCCAGGAATCAGTTTTCGCGTCAGATATTATATATGGCTGTCCTGACTAACCCATCCATTCCTGCCTTGGTGCTGAGTTCGGTGAATTTCGTCATTGTTGAGTCAACGCGGGTACACGTTGCAAAATCTCTTACTGCAACCCTGTTGATCATGGGTTCATCAGGTGAATCAACTGACCACTGGTCTTGTACCATAAGCCGGGTGAAGCACCCCTACATTTCTTTGGCCCTTGCTCGCCTGTTGAAACACTGGCTATAATTATAAGTGCGAAGATCGAATAGACCCGTGGTTATAAAACTGGGCGTCGAACCAGATTGGACCCGCGACATGCACCATATTACCCAATATTTTGCTCGCACCCAATTTGTCTACCTGAGACGGCCTCGAAAGAAGACATTGATTTTGTCGGAGCCATGTCTTCGCACAACGAACTCAGTGACTGTGAAGCACAAGAGTCCATTTCCGAGTACTCAGATGATCTTATCTCAGAGGATGATATTTCGGAGACAAGTGAAGACCGCGCATTCGTGGTATCCGATGGAGAACAATCGGCCTATTCGAACAGATCCTCTGCGTCTTTCAATGACAGCCAGTATTCCTCCAATGACTCTTCTAATTTTGTAAGTCAATTGGGGATACCGTTTTGGGTATAGGTATATAAGCTGACATCTTCAGAATGGCCAGAAAGTCCCGCTATGCATAGTTACCAAACGTACTATCGAACAAAACGGCGGTCCCGTTGTACAATATTTAGTGATATGGCAGTCCTGGGAGCAGGAAAAACCACAGATAAGGAGGGATTTGGAGGTTTGATTTGGACTTGGTATTGCAGCTTTTCATTATTCAATTTGTCAGGAAAGTGGCTCTCTGTTGTGCGTGCTAAGCAATGTCGCTGTTTAGCAAGAAGGCCATCATTTGAGTTGTTTTCCCAGATATTTAGCCAAGTTGGCATAGTAGAGAACATCTACATACATTGTTAGGCATCTGCATCTTGTCCATTGCACATTGTCTTACAATAACCTTCTCACAAATAAAATAGTCTCTGTATTTCCATTAGATGCATCAATATACACCTTTAATTCTGCTCTTTGTAAGCTTGTTGTCACGCGTTGCACGGAACAATTATAGCGAAAAAAAAAACTTGTACTGTATCCAACGTTGAGTGACAAAACGCCTCCCACGATGCCAAAAGTCTCAGACATTTCGATCAACATGTGCGCCTCTCTACTCTCACCAAGAAAGAAAACATTTTTGCACAATGGAAGCGCTGCTCAGCGTAAGCACTGCTGAAAGGCTGCAACGGGGAAATACTTAAGTACACCTAGTCCTCCGCGAAGTGCAACTTTTATCTTAAGCATCAGAGTCTCACGCAGACGCCCTCAGATATTTTCATACATCAATCTCATTCCCAAGGCCCACTTCGTACCTGCTTTCGTACATCTACATTGTCAGAGACTGACACTTGTGGGTTGGTCAAAAGATTTTGTTACAGCAACGCGTTGATATCGCCCTTGATGCTAAAAGTACTGGAACTTCCGCTTCTGTCGCATTGGGGGCGTAAAAGTTGGTATGGCATGACTCCGATGGCCATTTGCGAAAATACTGAAGAAAGCAGGAAGCATTGTCCTCATGCTGATCACTCCTCAGAAATCCCAGTCACCAAAGTCCCTTTCATATATTCGAAGACTGAAGAGCTCGTTTGGAAGTGGGAGCAGTCAAAGCTCTGTGGCCAGAGTATTAACGTCACTCTCTCTTCCAACATAATTTTACCAGCCCATTTAGCAAATAAAGCTGATAGCCGGGGAGAATACGTATCCATAGAGAATGGCGTCATTCATGTCTTCCCTCAAGCCCAGCTCAGCAATCTGGAACCGCATGACTATCAGATTGGGATTCTGCAGACAGCGCATTCAGCCAATTTGAAGATCATTCTTCTCGGTTCAAAGAAAGAAAAACAAACAAGCCGTCTCAGGAAAGGCTTCTCTCGCTTTCAACGTCCTTTGATGCAGAGAAGCGATTTTTCTTCCAACCGCTGGTCAACCGAATTCTGGATATCTGACTCGGTCGTTGTTGATTCAAGATCCACCGAACAGGCTATATCGGTACTCAGGACTGTGCTTCAAGACAGTCGTGTAGAGGCAGCGTACGTCTGTGTCGGCCTTCCAGTTACAATCTTCGGGCCATTATTCAACACGCTGGTCTTAAAATGGAACGCGAGCGCAGCTTCTTTTGAGTACTCCAACGGGTTTATCTGGATATATTCCACCCTGGACCCGGCAAACTTTACGATTGATGCGCTTGACCCTGCCAGTCTAACCAATGACTCACTTTCCTCCCTGCTGGAACGAATGAACGGTAAATCATGGCTTGCTAGGGCAAAGCTCATGTTCAGACTCGAAATTTCGAGCAGAGAGAAAGCGACTATTCTTGCTGAGCTATTGGAAGTTTCTCATATACATGCAACCTCTTCTCACAAGCCCATCACTCACTGTTAGGACCTGCATGGAAGCTGGAGGATGGTACTACTGCTGCTGTCATCCATTTGTGAAGTATACGCTGCCAAATGAATGATAAGACGAGTATTTCAAATCTTGTGATGGCTTTACTTTGTGATTGGACCGTCACACTCACAATAGAGCCAGAAATATCTTGTAATGGTCTTCACCATGCATCCTATTGGAGGAACTTCAGACCAGGAACCAAGTGCCACAATTAGATGTAGCAAGCCTTATTAATGGATCTGCAATATTATTACGTAGAAGGAGTTATAAAACGCAAATGCTGTGATATAGGTGCGGTCTTGTCGAATCTACATTAGATCGAAACAATTCAATAAAACAGCTCGGAGACATGTTCGCTACGACACGACCGCCTTCCTCGGAAAAGATGTTTTTGCGTCTTGGACAAGTCCGATCCAGACTGCATCGATAGGCAGAACGACTAGGTCCATTGAAAAGTCTGGTGTGAAAGCCCCAAGGGCGAACCGTCACAACAGTATCTATGGTCGCCGTCGCTGTCCACGGTCACCTTGATCGTCTTGACAATGACAATCACTGCCCAATTTAATAGGCGGGCATGCGACATCTAAAAAAGCCTCTCTGGACGTTGACTGGGCTCAACTTTGGAAGTATGGGATAATGAACAACCGCATAATATTACAGCGATTTGATCAGTGTATACTTGTAGTTCAACGTTAATCGTAGACTGGACGAGCCTCATCTTATGCAATAGATAGCGTTTTTCATGTTGTCGGTGATGCTCATTTCAATCGTCAATCGTCAACCCGTCATCTCAGTCCGCGTTGTACAAAGAGACCTTCCCATCTTTTTCGCCAGCAGCATGATTACCGCATCAACATTGCAAGGTGCTTTCGACCACCCTTGCAGAAGCACTGGAACGCCTTGGTTTGGCTTACCGATAGAACTTGAGATATAAACCTGTTGGGATCCAGTATTGCCTCGACTTAAAGCATGTCCCGCCCTGTTTCAAAGTTTGTCGAGTGGCTTGCCAGGGCTCCTATCCAAGATAAATTCGGTCTTTGCGGGCTCCTCACTCTTGTATGCTGGATATCTTATAGCCTTGGACTCCGATTCAGCTATTTACCACTGAGGTTACAACGCACCGTATCCTGGAGACGCTTCTTCCGGGCGCCAACACCAGACGTGCTCCAGTCGCTGGATATCCCGTCATACTCGCAAGGGGGCATACTTGCAACCCTGGTGATTGCCAACGTCATTGTAATCACCTTTCATGCTCAAAGCTGGGCGGATGTGCACAGGCGAGCCGGATGCCTGGCGGTCACACACCTTGTTCCCCTCTACTTCGGGTTCAGCTTCAGTCTTCCGGCCCACATTTACCGTATCGAACGGGGCACGTTTCAGTGGGCCCACCGGTGGCTAGGCCGCATTTGCGTGCTACATTGCCTTCTTCATGGGTCCATCTTAATCACAATGGCTCGAAATACCATGTTTGGAGCTCCCCTCGTCATTCCACTCCTGGTACGTGAAGCGCCACAGAGAACGGCAGCCTTCCCATTTCCCGTAGTAACTAGAAGTGGCTAATATGGAACAGGCCGGATGCAGTCTCATCTCAATCATGCCTTGGACGCTTGCTGGAATTCTTCGACGGTGGCCGCAACTCGGCCTCGAGGTCCATTATGTGCTAGCTTCGATCGCCACCGGCGCCCTTTTCTACCATTTGATCGACCGAGCATCATCCTACCCCTGGGTTTTACTGGGTGGTATTTGCGCTGGATGTGCCTGGAGTGCCGTCACTTGCCTGCACAGCATGTGGGTCCATAGGTCGTGGCGTATCACCGCTCGAAAAGCCCTCGCGCGGTCTTCCAACCGGCTGTTATGGCTTGATATTGTGGTTCCAGTAGAGTGGGTGGCTCGACCGGGGCAGTATGTGCAGCTCTGGATGCCACGCTTGGGAGTCAGATCCTGCTTGCAGCTTCCTGCATTTCACGTGGCTTCGGTGGCTACAGTGCAAAACCCCCCAGAAGCACCAACTCGTCTGCTACACATAGTGACCCGACCTGGGCAGGGTGTGACTGGTAGGATCGCGCAAGCTGCGGATCGTGCACACTCCACAGTTCATTTTCCAGTGTGCGTGCTGGGTCCTTACGGGCACCCACCTTACCTGGGACAGTACGGGACCGTCGTGTTTGTACTTGAAGACATTGGACTCTTCCGTGCGTTGCCGTTCATACGACACCTCGTTGAAGAAAGCCGAAGCCGGAAGAATACGGTGCGACGGCTACAAGTTCTGTGGCAAGTTAAGCTGCAGAATTTCAGTAAGTTTTCTGTTCTTGTCAGATGCTTGCGATGCCATGCGCTTACCGAAATAGACCATCCCCATTGGGTGGGGGATGAGATCTCGCAAATCCTCGAGCTTGACCGTATGTTTGACCGAGACGATTGTCCCGAGCATAAACATCGAGATGACCGGGGATTTGATGTGAGTGGATCCCTTTCTGCTAATTTTTAACATTAAATCGGCCTAACTCAATATAGATCCTGCAATTCACCACGCATATTCTAGGCACTCAGCCCGCGGACCAGATTCGTTACCGCAACCGAACGCGCTTGAAGTACCGTTTCCATCCCATTGACATTACAAAGGAGCTGGCACGTTTTATGGACGGTAGAGGCGGAAAAACTGCGATTTCTGGTATGACTATTTATACCCTTTGGATTATGCCAGCGCTGACTGGTCTTAGTATGCGCAAGCAACCCGTTACGCGCAGCAGTTCGCCGTGTCGTTCATCCCAGAATGACGGGTACTGTTCGGTTAATTGACCTGGACCTTGAACCCTCTGGCAACTGGTGGACTGGCGATGACCCTTTCGACCATGTAAAATCCGACAGGATGACAGCCTCGGAGCGAGCAGAATCTTGCAGTGCTGGTACAAGTTTTGAGCCCACTTGGACGCCGGCCCCCGTTCCTGTTGCACATACGGTCTCTGAACAGTCCGCGCGGCTCTCAGGAGAAACATTGGTCGATATCAGACAATCCTGGCAAGGCGATGGGTCGGCGGTTGGAGGCCAGAGTGCCAATCACAAAAAGTGGGTTCGGCAGAGAATCATGGAGGGTGTGCATGGCATCAGGCGGTGAATAATGTCGAATCGGATACACCGCCTGATGCCGGATGAATACACTGATCTTGCTGGGCCGGGGCTCGGAGGTAGATCTAGATCGATCAGCGGACAACGCTAACCAAACAATGGCCGTGCGAAACCTGCTTTACTTAAGACCACTATTACGTGAATTTCTCGGATTTGGTTCATTCAGCACGTGTCGCTCGTTCGTACTGGAAACGTGAGATATATATATACATGGTTGGCTCTAGCAAAGGTATATCCTGAGCTGGGTTGGCAAAGAATAGCGCCAATTTATGATAGTAACCTTCCTCTCACGATACATTCCACCTCAACTCACACACCGATGTGAAAGACCAATGATGGCATTGGAGGATAGGATAGAAACAAAAACCGAAGGAATTGCTTGACTATGTGACAGTGACATCAAAAAAAGTAGGGATGCACGCCGGCCAAGTCGTTGACCCTCGGATCCAAATTAACTCAAATTATACATTCCTCATTCTTTTTGACCATACCATATACCATTTTGACGCTGACGTCGAACCGATCTATGGGCTATCGTCTACTGTTGCTAGTTCTTTCGAGGTCCTCAGCTAGCGCTTGATCGAATCGGTTCCTAAAAATCCACAGAAGGGCAATATGCGTTTGAAAAGGGAAATAGATTCATAGAACAAGATAATAAAGATGACGTACATTTGCATTGTTTTCTACTCTATGCTAATTATTCTCATCTTAATAGAATAAAGTTGAACAGTTGAAACTTAGTGCCACGTACATCTCGAGCGCCAGAATCACTCATGGCCAGCATAGTCAAGTGGCCCCCCTTCAGGGCTTAGCTGGCCACGGAAATCCGGGTCTTACATGGTTCCTGTCTTATCTAGAGTAGCCACATACCGATTGCGGCCCCCACGTTTGCCGTGTGTTTGATAGTGGGCATTGAGGCTGTCGCGTCGCGAAAATCTGCGTTGGCACCCAGGGACCCAGCAAACATGAGGTTTCGCTTCTGAATGATTTGTCAAGTGACGGCTCAAGCCTTTTTGGCGTTTGAATTGGCGCTTGCATCCCGAAATTGTGCAATTGAAATGCCGCCCTTGGGTACTGTGTTGTAAACCTCCCTGATCAAAGTTGGAGGGATCTTGTGTGGAGATTGGATTGAGAGCCTGTGAAATGACTTGGCCCGCCTCTACAGCCTGCGTATTTTGGAAAATGTGCTGCCCTCCAAGCTGCTCTAGCCAGGGAACATTGCTATTCTGTGAGACTGGCAAGGAGGAAGTTCCGAACGCATTCGGCACAATGTCAGAGTAGCCAGGAGCAGACTCCGAAATAGGTAGGTATCGAAACCAGCAGAGAACAGGCCGCCATCCGCAATGGCTGGAGCCTGGGTCCATTGAGCAACCCCCGTGTCGACAAAAAAGACCATGATTAAGGCTTTGGCTGGTATGTAATTGGTATGTCCAGCCCTGAGGACTAACTTCACAGGTTTGAGTCCGGGGGAACTCCAAGTTAGGCTGTTCAATGGGTACGTGTTCGGTCGGGTATTTTTGCTCGCTTTTGTCGCCGTAGAGCAGTGGTGTGTCGCTTGGGGAAAACATATCCGTCGCGCATGTTTTTTCTTTGCGAGAAGGTTGCCATACCTTGTACCACTTGTGATTCTCCGCTCAGACTAAGCATGAATCCGAATTCTTGTGTCAAAAGGGAGGCGAGAGAAGGAGGGAGTAGAAGGTCCCAAGGACGATGACTGATCGAGAGTCGATCAGTGTATTATGTGAGATCTAAAGTGTATCAAAGAGATGGCCTCTTGAAACAACATGGACAAGACAAACAGCAGAAAGTGTCAACAAAGCCGTAGAGCTAGATGACTGCAAAGTTATTGTTCGCCCTTAACAGTGGCTGAACTGACCTCAACAAATTCTGTCGAAAAAATATTCTACCATCTGCTGTGTCCAAATGTTTTCCAACATGGCCTCTAATTTATGGTTGGCAAAACAAATGAATGAAGACGACTAGTTGAGGCGAGATGGTCGTTGATTAAACGGTGACCAGACAGCGCCTTTGAGGCTGGCTTACTGTGGGATTTTGCTGCCGACAACTGGAAACAAGCAGTTACGAGTGCAGACTGATTGGAAATATGTAATTGTTCACCGGCTGGTCAAGCTTCTGGAATTGCCCGTTGAATGTTTGAAGCTGTCGAAGCCGCAGGACATGTTTAATGCTGCTGGAACAAGCCAATGCATTTTAGCACATCCATCAGCAAGGATACAGGCTTGCTCAACCAACACCAGCATTTAAATAAATGAGTCCGTTGATACCCGTATCTCTGTCGTAACCCCAACGAGGCCGTTACGTGTCTCCAAGCAGACTATAAGAGAGGCTTTCATCCCCTGAACAAAATTAAATCAAAACTGATTCTTCCCCTGTCATAAAATGGATACTCCAAGGAACGTACCGGACCAAAACAGTGAAGGAGATCAAGAGCCGAGTGGGCTTCCAATCCAGGTTGATGAAAGCCACCCAAAGGATGCTTCTGATCCCAAACCACGACAGGTAAGCCAGATGCATCCTATACAGTATTATATCTCGTGGCTGACCACTAGAAATTTCTACCCGCAGCTGGATACCAGCCAGAAAGAAACTCTGATGATCGAGCAATTTCAACCCATCTTGACAACGCTAGCAAACGTTGAACGCGAGGATGCGAAACTGGGCTTTCAAGCGGCTCGAACTGTGGGGCTTCATCGACGTGTATGGGCTTCATGTGTGCCTAGACACCTCCGTGGCGAGGATGTTGATCAAAATCTGCACATTTCAAAGGAGGCCAGCATCGACCTGAGCAAAGAGGGGGTTGTACCTCAGCTTCCTGCTGATGAGCAGCGACAACGACTGCTCTCTTTTGAGCAGGCTTGGGAATCAACTCGGGAGCGACTGACGGTCGTGCTAAACGGTTGGAATCAATGCTCGAAAAGTAGACTGGGCATGTTAGTTGATGCCAAAAGAACTGAGTAGGGGTTCTAGTGGGAATCATGCTACTGAACTGTATGTATTTCTTGAGTGTGATGTAATGTCAATCTTTTGACACAGTCGTGTTTATTTCGAGAACGTCGTACAAAGCCCATGGCAAGAACGTGACTACTGGCAGACATTGGAAACACGAGTTTTATCACAAGAGTACCGCAATCATTTATAGTTTTCTTGGATATTATGTACAAAGAATGACGGGTCCAGGAATGGCATCGTGGGTAATGTCGCCTGTGGAGAAATGGTAGAGTGACTGGAATACGGTAGCGCTTCTGTGCGCGGCCATAGAGATAAAGTAAAGGTGGGAGAAGTTGTTTCAACAGTGGCTAGGGATATGATGTCCAGAATCTGTCCTCGCACCCGACGTAGATTACCCATGGCTGTTTCAACACGGGGCAAGAAGAACAAATACTCCCCCACTGTTTCACCAGAAAATTGATGAATCTTTGCAAGCCTCAACTCCAACCAGTAAAGCTCTTCAAAAATAAAGAATGCTGACATGTGAAGGAAGAGGTCCTCAGGTTGAGTGGAGAACGACAGAAGATCTGGGCCTGTCCACTTGAAGCCCGGCTGGTTATCGTTGTTGGGGTGAAAGAGATATTCGACCTGGGGGGATCCTTGTCCCTTGTATGATATAGAATTCAACTCATTCTGAAAGTCTAGTTCTGGATTTTCGTGATCCGCGCAAAGACATGGCGGTGGCGCCGGGATGCAAGAAGACTCTCGCCAGATAGCGTGAAGGTCGAGATCGAAGTCGTCATCTAGTCTATTGTCAGCACAAGTACGCCGTAGAATCAATTCTCACAAACCATTTTGATTAAGTTTATTCATCTGAACCAAAAGTATCCGGGTAGAGTCGTTGCGAGGAAATGTCAATGCAGAGTTGCTGGAAACTTGAAATAAGGAATCGGACCCAATGATTATTTAATGAAACGGAACCAAAGAGCCAAAAGTCAATCATTCAGAAAAGAGAATGGGCTAATGTACCTGGAATACGTGAATCGGTGATCGTTCATCGGGATCAATGAAACATCACCGTTGGCCGTCTCACCGGGTATTCCCGTTGAAATTCTAATACATCATCTAACCGAAGCCTTATTACGGTATTGTGAAAAGAAATCAACTTATTGTACAAATCAGTAATTGTCAAGGCTTAGCTCAGATAGGGGCTGGTAGATGCTGAAATCAGAGCGGACGCCCGTCAAATGACAGCGGACCACGGAACTCTGGATCGTAGTCGGGACTCATCTTGTCGAGGGAAGCAACATAGCGGTTGCGACCACCGGGTCTCGCATGTGTCTTCGTACAATGGGCTTTGAGATTGTCGCGGCGTGAAAAGCTACGGTGACATCCAGGTACCCAGCAGACAAACGGCTTTTCCTTCGAATGACTCCTTGAATGGCGCTCGAGGTGATCTTGACGCTTGAAGCCCATTGTGCAGCCAATAATTTTGCACTTGAATTTTCTCGTGTGCGTATTAAGGTCCTGTTCTTTTGCATTCGATAGATGCCTAGGCTGCTTGATATAGACGTTGAGGTCTTGCTGTGAAGGGTCTTTCATACCCACGTTGGTCTCATGGGTTTTCTGCCATTGCTCTGGTGACTGGTCAAAGGAGATACTGGTAAGAGAGGGAATGGTATTGGCTTCATCATTTGCGTCAGGGTTTCCTGTAAGACCCAAGAAGTCGGAACTACTTGTTGGAAGATTCGGAAATATCAGTGCAGGGTTGATAGTCTGCGTTGGCGAGTAATCAGCCCCCGGCTGCCATTCAGCTAAATCGAAAGGTGAGATCGATGGAACTTGGTGTGGCTGACAAATTCTTGGTGGCAAGCAAAGTATGGAGGTCAACTCAAGGCAATGGTTTGCTTGCTGGCCAGGACAGAAGTCCGAATTGCCATGGTCTCGGGCCGGGATAAGTGTGGGATGATGAGAAGTTGAGGGGCAGTAGTAGACCTGGATGACTCCATGCTCTGCCCGACTGCCATGTTGCAGCGAAGCAACATTAATGCGACTAGCGCTTCGTATGCTATCATCCAAGTTGGACCAGGTTAGCAGTACCTGCGAGTCCAGATAATAGACAAGATTGGTCCCTGCAGTCGGCAGCTTGACTGGTGAGAACTTTGTGTCATCATGCTGAACACGAAGCTCTGCGAAAGTCGGAGCCGGCAAGAGCGGGGGAAGGGGGTTTTGATGTGTCCGAGACATGTTGCCAGCTGATCTGGGCATTTTCAGTATTTTGAAGCAGCATCAAGAGAATTGGAGCGGCTGGCAAATTATTTGGAGTAATAAAGGCTTATAGCTCAATCTAGGAGGAAAAGGACATAATGACGCACGCGTCGGTATTGGGCAAAGTCATGACCAAGATGCGAGCAAGTAAGATGCAGAAAATTGCGTTAATTGTACATTGATTGCCTCAGCGCACACGATTTCAACAGCATCTCAAACATATGTCTATAGCAAAAGCTGGTACTAATATCTTATTGTCACGGATAGATTTGTACTCTTTGGTCATGATACTGCGTGGCAGTCAATGCATTTCTGCTACTTTAGTTGACTCTGGTGAATAACCGTTGAACCTTCAAAATAGTCCGCCTTTTAGGAGCAGAATACTTTGTGTGCTTAGTCCGTCATGTTCTGGTATGAGTTTGGGGACCCGGAACAACGCCGCACGATCTTGAGACATCCACTTGCTAGTACTGACGGAAGTGTGTCCTGTCTGTAGCGGATCGCACAGCAACACACCTTAAGTTTAAACTTGATACTGTAGTCTAAACTATCAGATGGTAATCTTCGGCACTGTAAGCTTGCAACGCTCTTTTATCGACAATACCGTATAATACAGTGGGTGTTACATCAGTGCCTGACTTGCCTGGTCCTACACAGCTTGGACCTACGAGATCTGCCGAGGCCTCTGAAAATTTGGCATCTTCGGGGGCAATTCGAGGACTGGGCTTTTTTTATTTCTCTCTGCTCATGGCAGTAGTCATTTGTGGAAATACGTCATTATGTTAAATCTTTCATCAATCTGGGGGATTGGCTCATACTGGTGCAATTCATTGCCATGGTGCCTGATTTGAGACACTATACATTCTTGACACACCTGAAAGATACATGCAATTTAAACCACCGCATTCTCCAGAATAACCAAACTCGTGTTCATCCTATCCGAAACCAACCGCATAGAATTTTCTTTGGCGATATTCAAACTTTCGAAGAACGCCCACTCTACCGTAGGCAACAGACTCTTGGCAAACTCGGCTTTTTCTTCTTCTTCCTGGATTTGGAAATCGGGTGCAGCCTGCAACCGCAATGGCACTTTCACTTGCCATCTCACCTGCCCGGCTGTTCCGTCGTTGTATTGCACTTCAAAATCCATGCAAGGGTTGCTCCACGGCATTGAGGCAAGGTAGCTGCCACAGTATCTAACAAAATGTTTGATGGACCTGTATGTATGAGAATCTAACAGGAGCGGCTAAGGACAGGATGAGCAGGTGTCGAAGTTGAAGAACATATGTGGGAAGTACCTGTGGATGATGACCGAGAAATGCCAGGGCACGATCTGTATCTTTGGCCCACACAAATTCTTTGAAATTATTCAGCATATGCAATTGCGCTCTTTGCTGTGACACCAAATACGAAAGCTTGTCAACCTCGCCCGAGTAGGCAGCGACATCGGCCATCAAGCTCTGCTTCTGCTTGATTTGATCGCGATGTCTTTGTGATGCCCGAGCCTGATATTTCCGCTTACGAGCTGCGGCTGTGGAACCAGAAAAGTCCCATTGACAAGGGATTCTTTTCACATCAGCTACATTGGCGGAGGGGGAGGTGTTCACTTCTTCAGGATCCGTGCTTCGAGTCACAATGGCTTCTTCAGTAGATCCTGGTGACACCACGTTCAATTGCTGCTGTGTGGCAGATTCTGGAGGCAGCAGTAGGTCTTTTATAGAGCTACCAAATATTAGAGGGAATTCGGTATTTTTTGGCATGAACTGACAGGGCTCGAGAGTTGAACCGGTTGGGTATCATTTTGCAGGGGTCAAATTGCTGCTGAGTGTATGAGATTAATGGCTCATTCAGAGCAAGAGAGCTATATTTATATTGCAATTTGCAAGACATGCTACACACGACTAACATCCACAGAGCTCTAGACAAGGGCCATGCATAGGCCAAGCTCATAAGGTACTCCTGGGAGTAGAGAAAGTCTGGTCTTCATCTCCAAATTCTTACTCAAGCCAGGTTATGTATATAAGACTTGGATAACTTTATGGTCATGCCATGACAGACCGCGCAGATGATTACGAACATTGGTTACATAATATGATCATCGTATCTGAAAAAGTGATACTGTTATTCTCGCAATGATGCCGATGGAAATGAGCAAGTCACAAAACCCCAGTTCCGCATTAATCGTAGTATATATGGAACAATTCCTGAGACGGTGCTCGCGTTTTTAGAGTCCATCAATATACTAGTGCGATGGCCTAGCTTGATCTGATTGATCCCGCAAGCTTCTTGTTTCCGTTTCGAGTACTTACATGATTACATTCACGGCTTGTAAGATACAGCGCAGGAATAATCCTAAATAGGCGTAGCCCTGCCCTTCCGGAAAACTTTTGACAGAGTGCATGATATTTGACTGACAAGTAGTTTATTGCGAGCATCGAATGTCTCAAAAGATCATAATTGAGTCGTCAGAAGAAAAAAGATCAAAAATTCAAAGCACCTTGTTTAATTGAGGTACATCACCTTTACTTTGCGGTGAAGTAATAACATGACATCGTGACCCAGATACTATGGGGAGGCTAAAGATCTATGCCGAAAGAAAGGCATGTAGCTATAAAGCTCTTCTGCCCTCTAGCTTTCTCGCTGTATCGTTTCATACTTGCCAAATCCACAAAAAATGATGAAGAATCATAAGGACACCCACCGCCGAACCGTATGGGTTGATGAGTCTCTTCACCATGAGCTGGCCTCAACCCCAATTTCTTTCACTGATTTGAAACCCTCGCAAACCCGGAAAGAAGCCATCGAAGGAGTCACCTCTTCATCAAGAAAACCACGCCTGGATTGCTCGGTCGCAAAGATTCCGCAACTCTATGCGAATCCATGGGATACTTTCGAACCAGTTGCCAGATTGCAAGATCAGTCATGGATCTTTGCACGGCGTCGAACAAGTAAAGGAGCAGTGGTGCATGTCCAACAGCTCCAACAACAAATGCCTAATGCTACAGCTCTTCTGGAGATGATGGACCAAGTTGCCCATCCAAGCTTCCTCAAATTGCTCGAATGCTACCAATATGACACGTCCTGTATGCTAATTTGGGAGCCAACCGAGGTGTCAGTCGATCAGATTTTAGCCTCCAGTTGCTTGATCACCGCGGATGAAATTTCTTGCATTGTGAAGCCGGTATGTCAGTCAAATGAAATTCGCGACGAGCTCGAACTCACCTTTCACAGATACTGGAGGGAATTTTACATCTTCGTCGGCTCGGAAGAGCGCTCGCCACTTTGAGCCCGGGAACAATCCTAGTCACATATTCTGGTGATGTAAAGATTGGTGAGATGTCCACAGATTTGGCGAGTATAGAGGGATTGAAACTAACGTTCAGTAGTGGGTGTCGAGAATAGCTGCAAAATCCATGAATCCGAAATGAATTCCGCAACGATCAAATTATGTGCTTTAGCTGATATTGTTAAAAAATTGATGCTGAAGAATTTAAACTACGAATGGGAACTCGAGATCCAAAACTTGCCATACCAGCTGGAAAATGTTCCCTTGGAGAAGCTCCTGCAGGTGAGAAAGATCACCCCGATACGCATCATGCTCTTGC